TGTGTGAATGAGCAAAAAGATCTGGTGCCCCAGAGTCTCTGGTGACAGAGTAAGGTGAGAGAAACATGGAAGGTGCCTCACCCTGGAGAGAGAATTGATGTGAGTCCTGTGATCAGCCCAGAGCTCTGTGTACCTATTTCAGAACCTTCCCAGGGAAGGGGAGGAAGTAAAGCATCCAGGATTACCCAGCTGTCAAGACATCCAGATTAGCTTTAAGATGGAGTCACTTATGTTCCTCACACTACGCTATTTTCTCATTCCAAAGTAGTTGCTACCTGCTGCCTTTTGTTAATCATATTCTGAATATTCCTAAACTGTTTTGGGGAGCTTAGATTCCTAGTGTCAGTAAAAAAAAATAACAGAAATTCCTTTCACTCATGTGACAGAGCATAGAAATGTATTTCTTCTTCAGGGGTCTGACATTTAATTTCTAGCAAGAAAGATTATAATTCAAAAGAACCTTGGTAAAATTTAGGAGAGTTTTTTGGACTCTGATCAATTTCATTAAGACCCCAAGTAAAAGAAAAAAAATTCTTATTATATCTACTTGATGTTCATGGTTTCACTGTATGATATGAAGCCTATAAACAAAATTTAAGGAAGTAAAAATAAAAATTTTTTCCATTTACTTAGTACAGTATTGCTTTAGACTGGTTTGTATTATAATGAAATGCAGCACTTTGTCATTGTCAGTATTAATTAAAATAGATTAACATTTAATGGCTAAAAAATATTCAGTAGTGTTAGCTAAATGATTTAACATGATTGTTTCAAAAGAGTAGTGAAATTATATTAGCAAAGGATGGACATCCCCATGTAATAAAAATTGAAGTAACTTAATATCAATTTACCTCAAATGTCATGTCAACAAATGTTTATTGAATGTGTGTGCACGAATTTTAAGGGTAAATTTTTAAATGAAATTTCTTTGTTGTTTAAAGACCTTTGACATGTGTAATATGTGCATGAGGTATATGTATCTTAATACATAGTATAGATTATATCTGACTATTTTTATAGGAACATAGTTTAGATATATATCTATATACAAGATATATCTATCTTTGTAGATGTAGATAGCCCTACAGAAAAGCTGTGTGTGTGTGTGTTAGCGTGTATATCAATAGGGCTTGGCACAAATAACACCCCTTTTTATTACAAAATCATAAGCGTGTAATTCTGTAACATAAGAATATCACATTCAAGTACACCACATGACATTTTAGGTGAAATGTTCAAATTAAAACTATAAATTATTACACCCATATTATTACCCTACCAACCATGCTCAAGCAGGCATTACTTCTGCCACATCCTGAAAATATTTCAAGTGATTATATCTTATATACAAATATGTTACATATCTTTTATATATCAGCTTTACAACCAAGAAGTGGTTTGTTTGGGTTTTTTGTTTGTTTGTTTTTGAAGTCTGGGAGCCATCCCACTGCAATGTAAACATCTAAGAAGGTAACACACCTATCTCCCTGTCACCAGGATGTTTAACTTGGAGCTTCTCTCCAAACTATAAACACTTCTTGTTAGAAAGATTTAAAAGTTATTACCCTTTTTATTAGTTGGATAAAGGCAATTAGTTAAAAACAAAGAGCTACCTCAATGGCCAGGTGAATTTAGGGTGAACTATGAAAAGATGCACAGCAAATAACACTGTCGAGTCCTTTTAAAGGAGCAGGTTACCTTTTATATTGAGGATATGTGTATGTAATGATCATAGCTCCTTTGCAGTGTAAATAAGGTGGATTTTTACATGTCTTTTTCATAGATTACCTACAGTGTTGTGCTTTGGATATGTTTATTCAGTAATAAAACTGCATTCTTTCTACATTTTGTAGATAATATTCTGTGATCATAAGACTTTATTTCCTTAACACTATCCACACACATCACACATGCTATAAAGGGTACAAACACAAACAAGATTTTATACATTCCCTTGTGGAGCTTACATTGTAAAGAGGCTTACCAGTAAGTCTGTATTGCAAGGCAGTGTGAGTACAGCTGGGAAAAAAAACAAAGAGCATAGAAGTGATAAAGAAGATTTGGCTTGGTAGAAAATCAAACTGATAGAAATAGAAGGTAGAATGGTGGTTACCCTGGGCTGGGGGTGGAGGCAGGTAGGGGAGATGGGGAGATACTAATCAATGGTTACAAGCTTTCAGCTACAAGATAAATAAGGTTTGGGAATCTAATGTATAGCATGGCGACTGTAGTTAACAATACTGTATTGTATATTTGAAAGTCGTTAAAAGTAGATCTTAAGCATTCTTACCACATACCAAAAAAAGGGGGTAACAGTGAGGTGATAGATGTGTTAATGTGATTGTGGTAAATATTTCATAATGTATAATGTATATGTATATCAAATCATCATGTTGTACACTTTAAATGTGTGCAATTTTGTCAATTATATCTAAATAAAGCTGGAGCTATGGGGTGGAGCAAGGAGAATAAAGCCACAGAGCCTGGAGAATAAGGAAGACTAAGTGAGGTGCCAAGGAAAGAAAGCATTAGGAATGACAGATCACAGAGGACTTTGAATGCCTTCTGTAGGAATCTAGATATTTGTTTGTTCATTCACTCTCTAAGTAGAATTAGTAACATGAATAGGGATGATTTTCACGAAGATTCATTTGCATGCTGTTGCAGTCATCCAGAAAAAAAACAATGAGGGGTTTGAATGAGGGTATTGGCAGTAAAAATGGAAAGAAAGATGTTTGAGACCTTACAAACAGGAAACTGGCAGATCTTGGATGTAGATTTGATGTAAGAAGCAAGGGAAAGAAAGGAGCTGAGGAAGATTTCAACACTCTGCCCTAAGGGACTGGAAGATCTGATGTCATTAGCAAAGAGAAAAGAGATCATTGATTTCAGAGACATTGAGTGTAATAGGCCAGCAGTGTTTGACTAGGGCTGCCTGGTGGACAGTTAGAAATGTGGTTATGGAGAGACTAGAAATGTAGATTTGAGAGACATGTTCCCAGAAGTTATAGTTGAAGCCATAGACATAGATGAAACTGTTAGGACATAAAAGTAAGTGATTTAAGTATACAGCTGGAAAATTCCTGCATATGTATAGTGCAAAAGGTAGGGAAATAGGAGTATCAGAGACAGCAAGGGAATAAGCTACAAAGGGCAAGAAACCAGAAGAATGCAAAGGCCTTGAAACAAAAAGCAAAGAAAGTTTCCAAAAGAGTCTTCAGTTAGCTTTAGATACTGCAGAGATTAAGGAAGATGAAGATCAACAGTTTACATGGTTGTCTTTCCATATGTACGACACTAACTAGTGACAAGTCAAAATGCAACAGTGGTCACCATTGTCTGTGTTTAACAAACATTTTTGTGCATTAAATAACCAAAAGATGTGTAGTTCTTATTTGTTAAATAGACAAAAGATGCATCACAGGCAAGGTGGTTGTTTACTGGCAGGCAGACACACACACAAACACCTGCATACATACCTGGGGTTCTGTTGCTAGTCTGTAGTATGATAGACAGCTAGTACTCAGTTTCACGTGCTTTATTCTCCCATCCAGAGGTTTCTGAAACTATCTATACAATGTATTACTATCCGGAGGCATCCAGAAGAACTGCAGTAAATAAGATTGAAAAATATATACCACATATAAAATTAGGTTAAGGGTACATTTCAGCTATCTGGGTGCCAAAGCTTTAAGGGGTTGCTACTAGTACAGTGAGAATAAACATTTGTGAGATGGAGCAGCAGCACATTTAGCTGAGCTGCTAGAGGGGCTTCAACTGTTCTCACTTTGGGTGTTTTTATTTTGTTTTGAAGTGTCTTAGTCTGTTCTGGTTGCTATAACAAAATACCATAGACTACCTGGCTTAATGAGAAATATTTACTTCTGCCCTGGCTGGGTGGCTCAGTTGGTTAGAGTATCTTCCCATGCACCAAAAGGTCATGAGTTCAATTCCTGGTCAGGGCACATACCTAGGTTGCCAGTTCGATCCCTAGTCCAGGCATGTATGGGAGGCAACTGATGTTTTTCTCTCTCTCTTTCAATTCAATAAACATATCCTTGGATGAGGATTTTTAAAATATAGTCCTGTAGGCCAGAAAATCTAAGATTAAAATGCCAGCAGTGAGAGAGCTCTGGAGTCTCTTTCATATGAGCACCAATCCCACTCATGATGGCTCTACCCTCATGTCCTAACCTCTTAAAGGCCTCTTCTAATACTATGACATTGGATGTTAGGATTTCAACACACAGATTTTGGGAGGACACAAACATTCAGTTCATAACATGGAGTAATGCTGCATTTTGGGAACTATTAATTTGTCACCAGAATATGTTTTGTTTTACTTTTTTATAAAAACTTGCTGCACATGTTAAACTTCATTTGGATTAAGAGTCAATGGTATTTTTTTCCTGGTTATATATCAGGTTTTGTTAAACAGCTTAACAATAACCCACAACCTTCGGATCAATGTATATCAGGTTTTGTAATAAAAGGGGAAAATTAAAAGTCACTTTACATAAACTATTTTTTTCAGCAAGCTACTATAGTCCATTAATTTAGGTAAGGGAGATGAAATTGTAGAGTCAATTTTGTTATTCTTATCCTACCTCAATACCTAAAGAAGCAAGATAATTAAAGTAAACAATGAAAATAATAAATTTATTTCTAGCTAACTCTTGATGAGAGCTGTAGAGAGAGCTTTTTTTTAAGCTGCAGCAGTGATTGACTAAAAAATATATTCAAAAATGGATTAAGCACAGACTTTAGCTAAAACTGCGAACAGCTTAATAACTAATTAATAACTAAAACTGTGAATAACTTAGTAACTAATACTTTCATGCCTGTGCTTTAAGATGCACTTAAGGGTTATCAATTTTTTTCATGTCAACATTCTAAACTCACATTTATATTTTGATTTTCAGTGAGGGGAAGTGAGGTATATTTTTAAAAATAGAGCTCTCATACAGATTATAGCTTTGATTTTGTGTGTTTTTTAATAGCTTCTAGGTGAACTGATCCTGGACAGACATAACTTTGCCATTATGACAAAGTACATCAGCAAGCCAGAGAACCTCAAATTGATGATGAACCTCCTTCGAGATAAAAGCCCCAACATTCAGTTTGAAGCCTTTCATGTCTTTAAGGTAAAGTGTAAGCTACAGAAATAAAGTGGGCATTTGTTTTCCAGTTTCAAGTGGCAAACTCCCTACTTTTTACTCTTTTATATTTGAAAAAAATTAAGTAGGCAGTTTTTTGTTTTGCATGACTTAGATGAAATTTTAGTTACTTTAATGAATGCCAATTTTTTTCTAAAAGGTTTGCTAACTAACCCATACTCTTAAGTATTTTCATTTTTTTATAACTGAGAAATTAGGTGAATACTGTCTCCCTAAAATTACTAAGATAATCAGTGACTGAGCTAGAATCCAAACCCTGAGTGTGAGAATTTGAATACTTTGCTTCCTGCTTCATGTGTTTCTTCGAACCTTAAATGAAGCATTGAAAAAACACTTAGCTATTACTCATTTTTATTACTTATTCAGAAATATTTTTGTAGATGCATTTTGCTATGAAAGAAAGCTAACCCCTATAATAACTGCTTTCTCCTCCTAATACTTTTTCTTTGATGTAAGTAATGAAGTTGCCTCCTAGAAACTTTAGACAATAAATCTTTTTTTTTAATTAGAGTAGATGAGAAAAATCTAATCTGTAATCCCATACTCCTAACCTAACTGTTGTAAAGGTTAGTAAATATTCTTGTCCTATGCACATATTTGAAGATTTCTTTCTACAGCTGTATTCACATTGTATACAAAATTGATATCCTGATTTTATCACTGAATGCTATATACCATCAGTAAACATTTATTCATTGTCATTATATGTAATTTTTAGAGTCATTAGTTTTATTGGCCTCATAGTTTATCATTGGGCATATTTAGTTTACTTAAATATTCCTGTGTCATTTACCTTTAGATTATTTTCATTTCTTTATACAGTGAGTAATATTGCAATGAGCATTTTATGTATCCAGCTAGGGGGTTTTTTTTGTAATATATTTAGTATTATTTTCTTGGGATTGATATCTATAGTAGAATTAAGGGTTCAAAGAGTTCTAGGCTTTTATTAGTCTTTACAATGTATATTTATTAATTAAATTTATGTCTATACATGGATACATGGGAGTTTGTAAGGTACATAATCGTTGCTTTGAGAGGTAAAAAAAACTTTAGTACATCTTTCAGTCACCAGATCTTCATTGTCCAAAAAATCACTAGAGCAATTCAAATCCAAAAGAATTTATAAAGCCCATTCAATTACAATCAAAGTCCCAACAGGACTTTTCCTGGAACTTAAGTTTATTCTAAGATTTGTATGGCAGAGCAGTTGCCTAGGATTATCTATGCTAATTTTGAAGAACAGATAGAGTAATCCTCCCTACCAGATTTTAAGCTTCTTATACCCAGTAAGATGGCAAAGTAGGATAATGCTATGCTTGCCTCATGCCATGAGCACTTCAAAATTACAACTAAACTACAGAACTATCATTGAGAACCACCTGGGTCTAGCTGAAGAGAAATTCATAACTAAGGATATAAAAAAGAAGCCACATTGACACTGGTACAAGGGAATGAAGACACAGAACTGGCTGGTCCTATACCCACATGTGGTGGTTGAGAATTGGTAGGGGTATCTCAGCTGCAGGGGTCTCCCCTGAGGAGTGAGTGGTCCCATTCCCACACTAGGCACCCCCACCCCTACCCAGGGTTCCAGTGCCAGGAGAAGTCCCTATAACTTCTGGCTATGAAATCCAGCAGTTATTGTGGCTGAGAAGGAGAGCTTCTGGAATCCCATGCATTCCTCTTAAAGGGCCCACACATAGAATTACTCACTGATGGACTCTATCACTCTGAGCTATAACACTGAGATAGTAGTTGAAAAAGCACCAAGGACATACAGGAGGAATTTATTTATCTGGTTTAGGGTGAAGGCTGGAGGGGGAGCTTTCTTTAGACAGTTGTGCTGGCAGAAGCCATTGATCCTTTGTCGAGCCTTCCTCCACCCAGCCTGCAGGCTCAGGTCAACAGCAAGTCTGAGTCTTCATCAGCTAGCACCTTTTGCCATACCATCCCCACCCAACCCCACCTAATCTGCAGGCCCACCCAAACCACTTTCAGTGTCTTTTCCATACAAACGGCCTGTCTTGACTCATGCTTTGGACTTTACTAAATTCTTTCAGATGTTCACAAACGCCGAAGAAGCAGCATTTGGCCTCAGTGTGCCCTGAACTCTTGCTAAGCTACTCCGAGCCCAGCACTAGCAGCCGCCAGCCTCTCTCTCAGGCACTTAGAAGCACAGCACAAGCAGCAGCCATCTGCGGATTACTTTGTAGCTCATATTTAGTGACCCCAGGCAGGGCATAGACAATGGCTGACTTTGGTCTGCACCAGAGTCCCTCATAAGAAGCCCCAGAACAAGCATGCCCAGTGGCGAGCTTCAGAACACACTTGAGCACCACCCAACCACCTCCGCAAGCAACATACCCAATGGGTGGACTCAGCAAGCATCAGGCCCCACTAAAAGGAATTCTGCTCCATAGTGTTGGCCCCTGTACAACATCTCCTCCGCTGTAGTCATGGTCAGTCCTGAGGGTCAGTCCCTCTCTTTGGCATGCCAGTAGCAATCAAGATTCAACTATAAAAGGAAGGCAAACTACATACAACCCACACAGGAACACACCTGGGGTACTGGGCTCAGGTGACCAAGGAGGTAGTGACACTGGACCCCATGGAACACCTATTATATAAGGCCACTCTACCAAGACTAGGAGAAAACTCTACTTAATACATAGAAAAAAACAGAGGGGGCAACCAACATGGGAGACAAGGGAACATGTCCCAAATGAAAGAACAGAATAAAATTCCAGAAAAAGAAATAAACAAAATAGAGACAAACAGTCTACCAGATGCAGAGTTCAAAAGAATGGTTTTAAGGAACTAAGGGAAAGAATATATGATCTCAGTGACAACTGCAAAAAAGAGATGGGAAAAATAAAAGAGAAATATAAAACAAAAAAAAAAAACAAATGAAGAATACAGTAACTGAAATGAAGAATACATTGGAGGCAATCAACAGTAGGTTAGATGAAGCAGAGGATCAAATCAGATATTTGGTAGATAAGGTAGCAGAAAGCACCCAATCAGAGCAGCCAAAAGAAAAAAGAATCCAAAGATATGAAGATAGTTTAAGGGGGTTTCTGGAAAAACATCAAGCATACCAACATTTGCATCATAAGGTACCAGAAAGAGAAGAGAAACAGCATGGGATTGAGAACATATTTGAAGAAATAATGTTGGAATATTTCCCCTTCCCTGGCAAAGTATATAGACATACAAGTCCAGGAAGCGCTGAGAATCCCATACAAGATGAACTCAAAGAGACCAACACCAAGGCACGTCATAATTTTTTTTCTCCTCTTAATTCCCCTCCACCATGCACCCCCCTCCTACCAGCATCCCCCTACCCCCGCCCAGTTAGTTCATGTCCATGGGTCATACATATAATTTATTTGGCTTCTCCATTTCCTATACTGTTCTTAACCTCCCCCTGTCTATTTTGTACCTACTATTTATCCTTTTTATTCCCTGTACCTTTTCCCCCATTCTCCCACTTCCCCTCCTCGCTGATCTCCATTTCTGTGATTCTGCTCCTGTTCTAGCTTATTTGCTTAGTTTGTTTTTGTTTTTTTAGGTTCAGTTGTTGACAGTTGTGAGTTTGTTGTCATTTTACTGTTCATAGTTTTTGATCTTCTTTTTCTTAGATAAGTCCCTTTAACATTTCGTATAGTGATGGCTTAATGATGATGAACTCCTTTAACTTTTCCTTTTCTGGGAAGCACTTTTCCTGCCCTTCCATTCTAAATGACAGCTTTGCTGGATAGAGTAATCTTGGATATAGGTCCTTGCCTTTCATGACTTTGAATACTTCTTTCCAGCCTCTTCTTTCCTGCAAGGTTTCTTTTGAGAAATCAGCTGGTAGTGTTATGGAAACTCTTGTAGGTAACTGTCTCCTTTTCTCTTGCTGCTTTTAAGATTCTCTCCTTACCTTTAATCTTGGGTAATGTAATTATGATGTGTCTTGGTGGGTGCTTCCTTGGGTCCAACTTGTTGGGGACTCTCTGAACTTCCTGGATCTCCTGGAAGTCTATACCCTTTGCCAGATTGGGGAAGTTCTTCATTATTTTTTCAAATAAGTTTTCAGTTTCTTGCTCTCCCTCTTCTCTTTCTGGCACCCCTATGATTCAGATGTTGGAACGTTTAAAGTTGTCCCAGAGGTTCCTCAGCCTCTCCTCTTTTTTTTGAATTCTTGTTTCTTCATTCTGTTCTGGTTGAATGTTTCTCTCTTCCTTCTACTCCAGATCATTGATTTGAGTCTCAGTTTTCTTCCCTTTACTGTTGGTTCCCTGAATATTTTTATTTCACTTTGCATAGCCTTCATTTTTCCCTCCATTTTGCAACCATAGTCAACTATTTCTGCTTTCCTCTAGGACTTTAATGGTGTCACGACTTATATTTACCTCTTTTATCCATCTTGAGTTATTTTTGTGTATGGTGTAAGCTGGTGGTCTAGTTTAATTTTTTTGCATGTACTTGTCCAGATCTCCCAAAGCCATTTATTGAAGAGGCAATACTCCATTTTATGCTTCTGCCTCCTTTGTCAAATATTAATTGACCATGGAGACATGGATTTATTTCTGGGCTCTATTCTGTTCCATTGATCTATCTGTCTGTTCTTATTCCAGTACAAGACTGTTTTGATTACAGTGGCTTTGTAATGTAGTTTTAATCTCAGGTATTGTGATCCCTCTGACTTTGTTCTTCTTTCTCAAAATTGCTGCAGCTATTCAGGGTTGTTTATGCTTCCATATGCATTTTTGAAATGTTTGTTCTATATCCGTGAAATATGTCATTGGTATTTTGATAGGGATTGTGTTCAATCTATAGATTGTTTTGGGTAGTGTGGATATTTTAATGATGTTAATTCTTCCAATCCATGAACATGACATATGCTTCCATTTATTTGTGTCTTCCTTAATTTCTTTCTTCAGTATTGTATAGTTTTCTGAGTACAGGTCTTTGTGGTTTTTATTTGTATTTCAGTAATAACTAATGATGTTGAGAATTTTCTCATGTGCTTATTGGCTATTTTTATATTCCCTTTGGAAAAATGTTTATTCAAATCCTTTGCCTCTTTTTTAAAAGGTTTATATGTTGTTGAGTTGTAAGAGTTCTTTAATGGTATTCTGGATGCTAGACCTTATCATATAAATGATTCATAAATATCTTCTCCCACTGCACTCTCTTGATAGTGTCCTTTGATACATTAAAGTTTTAAATTTTGATGTTCAGTTTATTTTTTTCCTTTGCTGCTCTTACTTTCAGTCATAGCAAAAAAAAATCATCAAATCCAAGGTCATGAAGTTATACCCCTATATTTTCCTCTAAAAACTGTATTAGCTCTTGAATATTTAGGTCTTTGATCAATTTTCAGTTAAATTTTACTTATGGTGTGAAGTAAAGGCCCAAGTCCACTGTTTTGAATGTGGATATCTAGTTGTCCCATGCTGAGAGGGCTTTTTTTAATGAAAAGGTGTTAGATTTTGTCAAATGCTTTTTCTGCAAGTGAAGTAACCATGTGGTGTTCTTTCATTGTGTTAAAGTGGTGTATTAGTTTCCTAGAGCTGCCTTAAGAAAGTACCATAGACGAGTGGCTTAAAATAACAGACAGTTATCTTCTCACAGTTCTGGACACTAGACGTCCAAGATTAGGGTATCAAGTAGAGTCTATTCCTTTTGGAGGCTATCTGGGAGAATCTATTCTAGGCCTCTCTCCTACCTTCTGCTGGTTGTCAGCAATCTTTGGCATTCCTTAGCTTATTGCATAACTGCCATCTCTGTCTCCATTTTCACATGGCATTTCTCTGTGAATACTTGTGTGTATCTGTGTCTAAATTTCCCTCTTTGTAAAAGGATTCTAATTATTGGATTAGGGCCCACTGTATCCAGTATGACCTCATCTTAATTTGATTATCCCTATTTCCAAATAAGGTCACATTCACAGCTACTGAAGTTTAACACTTGAAATTCATCTTTTGAGGGAACTTTTCAGCTTGGCCCTTTTTGAATTCAATATAGTACATGTGATATACCACATTGATTTTATTATGTCAAGCCAACCTTCTGTCTGGTTTTGGTATCAGGATAATGCTGGCCTCATAGAATGAGTTAGGAAGTATTCCCTTCTCTTTTATTTTTTGAAAAATTTTAAATGCATTGGTGTTCATTCTTTAAAAGTTTGTAGAATTTACCAGTGAAATCATCTGGTCTTCAGCTTTTCTTTGTTAGGAGGTTTTTGATTTCTGATTCAATCTCCTTAGAGAAATAAAAGGGATTATAAGAGAATACTATGAAAAATTGTACATCAATAAATTAGATAACCTAGACGAAATGGAAAAATCACTAGGAACATATCAAATCACCAACTGACCAAGAAGAAATAGGAAATCTGAGTCATAGACTGGCTCTCATGCGACTGGGTCAACTACACAGGCTCTTCCTGTTCCAAACCCAGAAATCGAATGCAATCCCTACCTCCTTTGAACCTCTGTAGACTTTCATTCCCATCTCATAGATTCTTAGCATCTTTGTGTAATGTTCTCCCTCGTTCTCCCTCCCCATGTATCTGGGTCAGGGGAACCTTTAGGGCTCAACCTTGTAGCCCCCACTGTCCCTATAAGCAGTCCTTGTTCCTAGTGTTTTCAGAGTTTTATACTGTTAGAGGTAAAGGATGTGCATGCAGTGAGCAGAGAGGCTCGTGGTGAAACACAGCACTTTTGAGGAGTGAGGAGCCCAAAACATGGTAGAGCCTGGAGAGCTATATAGGAGTCAATACTTTTGTGGGTATTCTGATCGTGTAATCATATATGTAGCATCTAACGAGGAAGTATGTCCATTGCAAAATATTGTACCAATCAGATATAGTTTTGAGTGATTGTGTCCTATGATTATAGCTATTGCTGTCTTCTATAGCAAAGTTATTAGTCAAGGATCATTGTTTAAATGAGGACTACACATAAGAATCCTTGTGGAACTTTATAAAAATACAAAATGCCAGACCTCCAGCCTGGATCTCCTGAGTTGGAATCTCTGAGAGGAGGGGACTGGGCAATTGTAAATTCTAAAGCTCCACGTACCTAAGAAAACAGTAACATTAGTGACCTCCAGGGAGGGAAGGTGAGACGTAGACTTTCAACCTTTGCCTTTTTGAATTTTGAGCCAGACGAGTATATTAAATATATTACATATTTAATAAATGTTAATATATATTCAGTGTACATACTATGTCAAATATATTGAATATATGAGTATTTAATTTTAATTGTAATTTAAAATATAATATATAATTTTAAATATATTTCTATATAATGTATAGAAAATGGATATGAATGGGGAATTACTGATTTTCCTTAGGAAGTATGATCCAGGCTTTGTGTGTTATATTAACACAAGTACCACATGAAAAACAAGTTGGATCCATATTGTCTGTGGTGTGTGTTCCTTGTCCTGTGTATTTATTTCTTTATGTTTCAGGTGTTTGTAGCCAGTCCTCACAAAACACAACCTATTGTGGAGATTCTATTAAAAAATCAACCCAAACTCATTGAGTTTCTGAGCAGCTTCCAAAAAGAAAGGACGGACGATGAGCAGTTCACTGATGAGAAGAACTACCTGATTAAACAGATTCGAGACTTGAAGAAAACAACCACTTGAAGTCTCACCAAGATTTCTGCACCAGTTACCATTTCATTTGTTTAGTTTGTACAAAAAGTGTCATTTCATAAAATAATCACTCTTGGGAAGACTTTTGAGGTGACTATTTTTTCTCAATTTTCAGGGTAGATGGAATATAAACATTTGAATAAAAATAATTAACCTAGAATAATATATTCATTTTAATCAAGTCTGTGATATTGATAAAAGCATTTGTAACCTTTTGTTGATGAAAGGCAACAGGGCCATGCACTTGCAGACCTGAGCTCAGTCCCTATGAGCCCCTAAGGAGGAATCCAGATGATGGGTCACTGAGTCCTTGAAGAGGATTAGATTCTCAGAGGAGGGCTGGGTTTGGGGACAGAAGGCATAAAACTATTTTGCTTATCTGTACTTAGACAAATTTTTTAAGGCACTGAAAGACCTGAGAAAATACGATCCATGTTTTCTTGTTCCCTGCCAATACCTTTTAACCAGCTTCCTATGGAATCAATGCCCACCTCCCTGTTCATGGTCCCACATTCCATCCCAAGAGATGTCATCAGCATGCCTGACTCCTGACACAATCCCTGCTGTTCCCTGCGGTAGGGATAGCACAGAACCAAGGATTTAGAAGGGGCAGAGGGGCATAGAGGACCCGTGTGGTATGAACTGCTTACTTGAGAACTTGGAACAGATGGTTAAGAACCATAGTTCTACCTGTAGTTATTGATGTTTCACACAGACTTCTATGACATTCATGAATATTTGGAATATTTTGTTCATAATTGTTAATGAAAGAAAAATGTTTTGTGGTGAAAGTATGTTTTAGAATAGGAATCATTGCATTAGAATGCCTAGCATGTACAAAACCATGGGCCCAGAGAGTTGCACAGGTCTTTAAATCACCTTTATAAATAAAGGAACACTGCCATTAGAAGGGCAGGTGATTAAATGCATGAAAAAATTGTCACATGATTAAAAAATATTTGTTCAGTTTATTTTCTAATAAGCTGCCACTCCTCCCATTAAAGTCTTTGGTGAAAAGGTACAATAGAAAAACTGTAAGATATTGGTCCCAAATACTCTCTTGTACACTAGGATCATTAAGGAGTTAATTTGTACTTTTTAAAAAAGTCATGAAACAACAACAACAAAAAAGATCATGGTTTGTTTTCAGACGTCAAATATATAAAATGGAATTTTAAAGCTATATTTACAACAAGACATTAAATGAACAATTGTTAAACTGTGTTTTTTTCAAAATTGTTTCCAAATCATGAGTTATTGCCTTCCATGGGAACCTTCACTTCTTACAATACTGGGTGTTGTGTTCTTCAACCAGATGTTTCTCCAACCAGAGAAGGAAAGATCCCCCTCCAGGAATCCTTCTCCAGGATCAGTGCCCTTTCTAGATTTTGCATTTGAATAATTATCTGGCAGGGTTTCGTCCTTCTTGGCCGGGGCACAGGTCCATGTTCTTCTGTGCCCAGCATGGACTCCTGAGGCAAGTGGTGTCAAACCTGTGGAACCTTCTTCTAGCATCTCTGGCCAATGCTGGCAGGGGTGGGTCAGCAAACAGCCCATCTAATAACCTTCATTCTTTAGTCACTGAAGTCTGATTTCTTTTATAACATTCCCAGACAGTCAAAGTCTCTAAGGGCTTGAATTTTATGGTTTTGCTTATTTGATTAAAAGACATGAATATTAAATATATTTTTAAAAACGAAGGTACAATAGGCATTAGAAATTTATTTGGTTGCTTAAATACTGTCCCACAACATCATGGAACACATGTTTTCAATTACAAAGCAAGGCCTTAGCATAATCCTCTTTTTATTTATTCTGAACTTGACTTAGCTTTTTCTTAGCAACCCCTTATCCTAGTGTAGTACCTGTCAAACAAAACTAGTCTTAAGAGGCAATAAATGAAGTGGCTAGAGTTCTGTTGTAATTCAAATTTGTAAATTATTAACGTGAAAGAGGGAGCAAGAAGCTCACAAAATATGCTTGCACAACATTCACTGTAAATATTGTGAGAATTTTAAAAGGTCATATTTAATATTCAAAAAGACATTTAAAATAAAGACTAAATAAAAAGGTGCCACTTACTCCATGGTTGGTTTGCATTTTCTGTATCAGTGTTCTTATCAGCGACCCAAACAGGAACATGCCAGGCAGAGCACGGGCAGCCTCTTAGTGGGCATTCAGACTGGGTGCTTCAGGGTCAGCATCATCCAGGTGATGCTAACTACCATTAACCAAGCACTGCCTGCCAAGCACTAAATACACGCATCACATTATTGGTGCTTCATGACAGCCAGCCATTCCCATTTTATTTGAGGAAACTGAGGCTCTAATCAGCTTAATGATACCAGACAGCTTGGGCTACACCTGGAATGCAAACCTACAGTGACCTGAGGGCAAACTCGTGCCCTTCCCTCTTTCATCCACAAGGCTGTGATTAGGGAAGGTCTAAAGTGTCAGGAACTTCTTTGTGCTCTTTCCCAACTGCAGTGTGGGAGGCTTCTGGGGGTTACGACCCTAGAGTGAGGCCAGCAGGAATTGAGATCATAATGTTCTTAGATGAGGCTCTCAGCTAAAGCCAGGCATCTGCCCAAACATTAGGATTACCCCTGGAGAAAAAGCCAAGTGCTACACAGTCCTTTTCCAACTGTTCTCTACTGCCAGCCTCCATGGGTTCACATCCTTGGAGGGCTCTGAGGGAAAATAGATGCTGGGGAGGAGTGAGTGAGCTTTTCAATGCTTCTGTCACTGGCCAAACTGGTTTGTCTGTTTGAGACCCAGCTAGTCTAAGTCAGTATGCAGCCTGGAAATTTCTCAAGACCTGAAAGTGATTGTGATAATGTGAAGGAAAATGAAATAGAAAAATTACTAGAATTTTTTAATATGAAAACAGTCATTTCACAAAAGGAAAGACAAAAACCACATGATCATCTTGATAGATGCAGAAAAAGCATTCGATAAGGTACAGCACCCATTTATGATCAAAACACTCAGCAAAATGGGAATAAATGGGGCATTCCTCAACGTAATAAAGTCCACATATGAAAAACCTACAGCCAACATCATACTTTACAGGCAAAAACTAAAAGCTTTCCCACTAAGATCGGGAACATGACAAGGATATCTGCTTTCACCGCTTCTTTTCAACATAGTATTGGAAGTCCTAGCCACAGCAATCAGACAAGAAAAGAATAAAAGGCATCCAAATTGGAAAGGAGGAAGTAAAACTATCATTGTTTGCAGTTGACATGATAGTGTATGTAGAAAACTCTGTAGACTCCACCAAAAAAAACACTCAACCTAATAAGTGAATTTGGCAAAACAGCAGGATACAAAGTCAATATTCAGAAATCAAAGGCATTTTTGTACACCAGCAATGCAATAGAAGAAGAAGAAATCAGAAAAAAAATACCATTTGATATATGAAGAAGAAAAATAAAGTACCTAGGAATAAGTTTAACCAAGGAGGTAAAAGACCTGTATGCAGAAAACTATACAACATAGAAGAAATTAAGGGAGACATAAATAAATGGAAGCATATACCATGTTCCTGGACTGGAAGAATTAATATCATCAAAATGTCCATACTACCCAAAGCAATTTATAGATTCAACGCAATCCCTATTAAAATACCAATGACGTATTTCACAGAAATAGTGCAGACATTTCAAAAATTTATATGGAACCATAAACGACCCCGAATAGCCGCAGCAATTTTGAGAAAGAAAAACAAAATAGGAGGGATCACAATATTGGACATCAAACTGTATTACAAAGCCACTATAATCAAAACAACCTGATACTGGCACAAGAACAGACCGATAGACCAGTGGAACAGAATAGGAAGCCCAGAAATAAGCCCACATCTATATGGTCAATTAGTATTTGACAAAGAGGGCTGAAGCATAAAGTGGAGTAAAAATAGCCTCTTCAACAAATGGTGTTGAAAGAACTAGACATCTACATGCAAAAACTTGAAATTAGATCATCAACTGACACCATACACAAAAATACACTCAAGATGGATAAAAGACTTAAATATAAGTCACAACACCATAAAAGTCCTAGAGGAGAACATTGGCAGGAAACTCTCATATCCCACGCAGCAATATTTTCACATGTATGTACCCTAAAGCAAGGGACATAAAGGAAAGAATAAACAAGTGGGACCTCATCAAAATAAGAAACTTCTGCATGGCTAAAGAAAACATCAGCAAAATGAAAAGGGAGCCAACCATATGGGAAAATATATTCGCTAATGATACATCAGATAGAGATTTGATCTCCATACATAGAGAAATCACGTGACTCCACTCCAAGAAGACAAACGATCCAATTTAAAAATGAGCAAAGGATCTGGGTAGACACTTTTCCAAGGAACAAATACAGAGGGCCCAGAGACATTTAAAAGGATGCTCAGCATCACTAGCCATCAGAGAAATGCAGATCAAAACGACGATGAGATACCACATCACACAAGTCAGAATGGCCATCATAAACAGATCAACAAACAACAGGTGCTGGCAAGGCTGTGGAGAAAAGGGAACCCTAGTACACTGTTGGTGGGAATGCAGACTGGTGCCGCCATTGTGGGAAACTGTGGAATTTCCTCAAAAAGCTAAAAATGGCAATGGCTTTTGATCTAGTGATTCCCTTGCTGGGACTATACCCTAAGAACCCCAAAACGCCAATACAAAAGAACCTATGCACCCCAATGTTCATAGCAGCACAGTTTACAATAGCCAAGTGTTGGAAGCAACCTAAATACTCATCAGTAGATGAGTGGATCAAAAAATTATGGTACACTTACACAATGGACTACCACGCAGCAGAAAGGAAAAAAGAACTACTACACTTCGTCACAGCATGGACAGAACTAGAGAGCATTATGCTAAGGGTAATAAGCCAGGGGGCGAAAGTCAAATACCATATGATCTCACCTATAAGTGGAACCTAAACAACAAAACAAAGATTCAGGGAAAATATGACCAGCAACATTGAGAGAAAAAAGAAATCAACAGAGTCAAGAAGGAAGGAGGGAGGGGTGGGTGGAGAAAGGGAAGGGAAGGGTCAAGTCAAGGAATGTATATCAAGGACTCATGGACAAAGCCAAAGTGGGGAAGGACTAAGGAAGGGAGTTGGGGAAGAGGGGCAAGGGAAAGTGGTGGTGGGAAGGCAGAGACAAATGTATTTGAACAAAAAAAAATTAATTAAAGAATAAATAAAAAATACAATAGTAAAAAGCTTAATTTAAAAATTGAGAAATACAATAAACATAATGTAAAGAATAAAAATTAAAAATAAAGTGAAAAATAGACAAACCAAAAAAAAAAGACTGTCATTTCAAAAAAGATTTACAGATCTTTCTAGTCTCTTATTAAAGGAAATTAAGATTTTTATATATTTTACCTATTTTTTGTTCTATTGAAAAGACCGTACATACAGCATGAAAAACCATCTTTTTCTCCATGTTCTTTCAGGAATATTTTGGATATTGTAGTGAAGGCCTATAGCTGGATAAAGGTCTGAAATAGAGAGCAGGCGCGCACACTTGCGCCGAGTGACTGGCGAGGGTTGGCGAGCGTGTGTGTGACCCACGCGGGCTGGCGAACGCTTGCACCTGCCGGCAAGGCCTCACACAGACTGGCACCCATACGGCCTGCGAGGGATTGCACAGAGGGACAAGGGCAGGCATAAATTGACCTACCCGCCGCGATTGCGGAACAGCCCACAAAATAAGTAGAGCTGCCCAGAGTCCCTGGAGGAGAGACCAGAAACAGGATTAACCGGAGAGCTGATTTCCTCCCATTTCCGTAGTCCCCATTTGGCGAGGGCAAGCAACGCACCCAAAGAGCCAAAAGCGGGGAAAACACACAATAGAAGACTCTAAACTGACCAGTGCCGCGAAGCTCGCGTGCCAGGGAGGTCAGATGAGCACGGGAGGTCGCGAATAAGCCCCCTGGTCTGGGGCAAACACATGCGAGCCCAGGCAGGTGGGGGACCCTGCCACGCTGGGAACGCGCTCAAGGAGCTCTCGTGAGAGCGCAGAGAGACCCCAAAAAATAGCCCAGCCCTGACCGAAGGGGTCACAGAGCTGCTCCAAGCAGGAGTCAGACACAGGCATTAGACTCCTGAAAGGCTCAAACAAACAACCCAAGGCCCTATAGGGTCAACAACTGACATCATCAGAGGCAAGCCCAGAAAGAAAAGTAAAGGACAAAAATACTTAACAGACTCTCACAAAAATGGGAAGAAAAAGAAGTTCTCCCCAAATGAGTGGAAAAGGGGACTCCCCACAGAGAGACCTCAATGAAATAGAGGCAAGGGAACTATCAGATATGGAATTTAAAACAATGGTTCTAAGGAAGCTCAATGAGCTCAGCCAGCTCAAAGAGAACTATGAGAAACTGCAGAGAAACTATCAGGATCTTACAGCAAACTATATCAGCCTGGAAAAGGACATAGAAACTATCAAGAAGACACAAGAGGATATGAAGAATACCATTTCTGAATTGAAGAACACAGTAGAAGGAATCCAAAGCAGGCTGGATGAAGCTGAGGATCGAATCAGTGAGATGGAGGATAAGGTAGAAAAAAGCTCCCAGAAAGAGCAAGAAATGGAAAAACGGCTCAAAAAGAATGAAGAAGCATTTAGGGAAATGCAGGACAACCTGAAACGCAATAATATCCGTATAATAGGGATACCAGAAGGAGAAGAAGAGGAGCAAGGAATAGAGAACCTCCTCGAAAAAGTAATGATGGAAAATTTCCCTAATTTGAGGAGAGAAAGGCTCTCATGGATCCAGGAGGCACAGAGGACCCCACTCAAGAAGGACCCAAGGAGGTCCACTCCAAGACACATCATCATTAAAATGGCAAATGTCAAAGACAAAGAGAGAATCCTCAAGGCAGCAAGGGAGAAGGAGAAAGTAACATACAAGGGGGCCCCGATACGCCTAGGAGCTGACTTCTCAACAGAAACACTCCAAGCCAGAAGGGAATGGCAACAAATATTCCAAGCCATGAAAAGCAAGGGCCTACAGCCAAGGCTGCTCTACCCAGCTAGGCTCT